TGTTATGTATAAGTCTTTAATTCATTTTGAGTTTATTTTTGTGTATGCTGTAAGATAGTGGTCTTTCTTTTTTTTCTTTTCTTTTCTTTTTTTTTTTTTTTTTTTGAATGTGGTTGTCCTATTTTCCCAGCACCACTTATTGAAGAGATTGTCTTTCCCCCATTGCATCAATCAATAAATTAGCCTCAATCAATAAATTAATTGATTATATGTGTGGGCTTACTTCTGAGTTCTCTATTCTGTTCTTAGATCTATATGTCTGTTTTTATGGAAATATCTTTTTTTGATTACTATAGCTTTGTAATACAGTTTAAAATCAGGAAGTATGATGCCTTCAGCATTGCACTTCTTTCTCAAGATTGCTTTGGCTACTGGAGTCTTTTGTGATTATGGTTCCACACAAATTATAGTGTTATGTGTTCTATTTCTGTGAAAATGCCACTGGAAGTTTGATAGGATTGCATTAAATCTTTAGATTGCTTTGGGTATATGGATATTTTAAAAATATTAAATCTTCCAATCCTGGAGCATAGACTGTCTTTCCATTTAATTGTCTTTAATTTCTTTCATCAATGTCTCGCCGTTTTCAGTGTTCAGGTCTTTTACATCCTTGGATAAGTTTATTTTTAGGTATTTTATTCTTTGAATGAAATTATAAATGGAATTTTTCTTAAATTTTTTGATAGTTTGCTCTCAGTGAATAGAAATACAACAGATTTTTGCTTATTGATTTTGTATACCTCAGTTTTACTGAATTAGTTAATTAGTTCTAACAGCTTTTTTTTTGATGGTGTCTTTAGTGTTTTCTACATATAATAAAATGCTATCTTCATATAGTGATATTTTTCCTTTTGACTTTCTCATTTGGATGCCTTTTATGTTTCTTGAGAAGTCATTCTTACTATTCTAGATCACATTAATTCTATTATTATATGCTCTCACAGTACTGTATATAATTCACCACCTTCAAAGTCCTTAAATTACTTCTTTAATACTGGCTTGCCCTGCCACAATGTAAATTTCATGAAGCCAAGGGTTATGACCACATATTTAATTCCTAATTTTAATCCTATTTCTGTAGTCTCAGTAGTCACATTACTCCTCTGCTTAAAGCCATCCAATGACCTCCTATCACAACCAGGATAAAATGCAAGCTCCCTACCAGCTTCTCTGTGATGTGTTCCCTGCTTTCCTCTCTGACTTCTCCCACCAGTCTCTCTCATTCATTATGCTCTGGGCTCCAACCACATTGGTCTTCTTTCTGTCCCTGTAAGTGTTAAAGGCATTGCTATCTCTCCGGCCAGATCTCAAGTGTTGTCTCTTTCTCATTATTTGTGTCTCAATTCAAATATCACTTCCTCCAAACATTCTTCCTTGCCATCCCCAGCCAAAGCACCGATTTTTATCAAATGGCACTTTGTACCATTTTGTAGTCTTCTTCAGAAACTTAGCAGCATCTGAAACAATATAATTTATGTATTTGTTTACATGGTTAATGTCTATCTGTTCACTGAAGGAGGAACTTGTCTATGGTTCATTGAAAATATATTCAGCTAGAATAGTAAGTTGCACATAGTAGGTACTCATAAATACATTAACTCAACCTGTGTGGATATTCAGGAGCAGGCCAATCAAGCCTTCAAAACCCTAAAGACTTCCAAGATGGTTGGGAAATGTCAAAACCAAAGAGTGGTTTTCTACATGTATCTAGCGACCTCTGCTGGAATACCAAACACAAATCTTTCTTTTTCTAATTGTCCTCTCGTCTTTTTATTGAATGATAACACATTAGTGTGAGTGTGAAATTAGGGATCAAGAATTTTCAAGATTTCCTCTCCCATCTTGGGGAAACCCCATTACCCTTTCTCTCATTGATTATGCTCTTAGCTCACCAATTTATGCTTTTAATATAAATTCTAGAGGAGAGAACTCAGGGATACTCAGACTATTAAGGAAGCAGAGAACTTTCTCTGATTCCCATCCAGATCATATTGCATATGTGAATGCCTTTCTTTTCACATATATTGGAAAGAGGGGGGTTCATCCAGATATCATGGACAGATGAAGATCACACAGACATATTTTGGGTGGTTCCATTTATTTCACCTTTGTTGACTCAGGGAGCAATTTTGAAAAAGGCATTCACCACGGAAAAGCAAAGAATTGGCACAATGCCCTCATGTTGGGATAATAGGATCAAAAGAGTTATATCAGTCCGCTGTGAGGGCCACTAGGCGAGGATGTGTTGCTGAGGCAAAAGCCCAAGTGAGAGCCAGAGATCAAAAGTTTCTAAACAGCAAAATAATGAGTGAGAATGAATGAAATAATCACGAGGTGATGTGATTAAACTTTCAAAAACTGGTTTACTTATTCTGTATATGTGTGTGTGTGTGTGTGTGTGTGTGTGTATACACACATATACATATACATATACATATACATATACATATACATATACACATTTATATACATGTTTATTGCAGAAAATTTGTAGAATACTAGTAAAGAAAAAGAGCACATAAATAATAATAATCATCAGTATCTCCTAAAGAAAACAATTGTGAGAATTTTGTATCTATTTCAGTCTTATATTTATACTAGAGGCCTGGTGCATGAAATTCATGCATGGGGTGTGGTGTCCCTCAGCCCAACCTGCACCCTCTCCAATCTGGGACCCTTTGGGGGATGTCTGGCAGCCAGACATCCCTCTCACAATTCGGGACCACTGGCTCTTAACCGCTCACCTGCCTGCTGGCCTGATCACCACCTAATTGCCCTCCCCTGATGGCCCAATTGCCCCCAATGGCCCTCCCCTGCTAGCTTGATCTTGCCCCCAACTACCTTCCCCTGCTGGCTTGATCACCCCAACTGCCCACCCCTGCCAACCTGATTGCCCTTAACTGCTTGCTCCCCTCCTGGCCTGATCACCCCTAACCACCTCTGCCTTGGCCTCATGCCACCATGGCTTTATCTGGAAGGAAGTCAGATGTCTGGAAGAGGTCAGGTCGATCCAGTTTAATTAGCATATTACCATTTTATTAGTATAGATATATTTCACTAGGAGAAATACATATCTATTTTTTGTATAACACTGAATCAATTGTACTATTTATTTTGTTTTATATGTTACTTACTTTTATTAGTATGTCATGAAATATTTTCATTGATCTAAGGTCATTTTTCCCTCGAAATACAATTATTTGAGCAGATAACATATGCATGTGGCACAATATTCAAAAAATTGAAAGAAAAATAAGCCTCTCTTTCATTTCCTCTGCAATAGTAACAACCAGAAGTGCTTTTAATAGACTACTATGTCTTATAAATAAGCCTGACAGTTATAAAGTGGTAAATATAGTGCCAGGCACTCTACTAAGTACCCTATGTAAATGGTGTTTTTCCCATTTTTGTCAGAAAACCAAAACTTAGTTAAGAAATTGGCTTGAGTTTGCATACCTGATAAGCAGCAGATTGGATGTGGCCCCAAGAATGATTATTTTACAACCAAGCACATGGTACCTGGAACTTGATATAAATGAATAAAGTGTCACAATGTGATTCGGGTATTGTGAACTGGCTACCCTGGGGCTTGTTTATTCCTGGAAGAACCAATCACAGGGTTGCTGAGACTGAACACTGCAAACCTGACTCTCTGTCATCATCCTGCCACCCCATCCTCACTTCTTGTCAGCATGCCCTTCTGTTTGGTTTTATTGGAATTTGTGTTTGCAGGACTCAACAGAGGTTATGTCAACACCAGCAAATTATTCTGTAAAGGAGACAGTCGTTTTGATAAATTGGGCTCCTATATTTACTGTTTTAGTGCTCTATTTTTTTTTTTATTAACCATACAGTTTTTTTCTTACCAACTGAATGAATAATAAACTATATACTTAAATTTATTTTGTAGACAAAGATAAGAATCAAATATGTTGGTAATCATGAAAGACATTTAATGTACTTGATTTACATTGATTTAATATCAGATAATGAAGTATGCTTTTATCTATTTTAAGTCATTAATATAGGGCTTGAGTTAGTAAGGCCAACTGTACAAACAATGGCTAAATACCTAATAAAAAGTTACTAATAAGTAACAAATAGTAATAATAAATAGCAAAAATAAAATAGTGATAGTACAAACAAATTATTTTAAGAGAATTCTACTTGTAATTCTAATGTAAAGGATATTTTGTGTGAATTTCAATTCTATCGCTATATGGAATGAAGATGTAAAAATACTGATTGTAAGCTAAATCTATAAAGTAAGATATTTCAAAAGTCAGCATGCTTGAGAACGTTGTTACTCCATTTAGATGCAATATAGAATGTGTCTCTGTGTGTGTAAATAAATTAGCACACACATACATATATACATAACAAACACATGAAAAAAGTAAATATATAGCATTTATTGACAAGGTGATCCTGGTTATATTTCAGAACCTAATATATTTTGCATTTTTCTCCTATTTGAACATGCTTATATCCACTAAATTACTCTTTATCAGTTTGAAGATATTTGAGGTAAATGTACAAATGGGACTAAAATTTATTTCTACTATTTCATTAAAATAATGATTTGACAATCATTGATCAGGCAAAACTATATTCTTTGTGTTTTACACCCAAACACACACTTGCATTTATATTTTTTCACAGGGAAATTTTAAAGAAAAAGTAATTAAGAAAAGGGAAGCCAAAATCTATACTTCCCTTCAAAGGTAAATTTGCAGATGTAGAATAAAATAATTAGGAATAATTTTTAATGTTCTAGAAATGGGAATCAAAACAAAGAATAATACTTAGGAAATATAAAGTGATTGGAAGTATAGAAATATGTCCCAGTCAATTCTATGTGTAATCTAAAATGCTCTGCAAAATTTATAAGGGGAATTGCTAAATTCTTGGATCCCTTTGGAAGTGATGAAATAAGCACTGGTGACCGTGTGAGTCTAGGAATTTGGTCAAAAGGACAAGGACTAAAGGTCTGGACGTGTACCATGATCAGCCTATGAGGATGGCACTATCAGGAGGGTTGCTTGCCTAAACCCCAGACTGAGGGTGTTACTTGTGATAGCTCTGGGTTTTTTGCGTAAATTCTGATTGGAGACATTGTCCTCAGTGGACCCACCTGGAAAGACTGCAAAGAGAACTGGACAATTCCTCCCTCACCTGTGAGTTCTCTGGGAAGCAGATGAGATTTTATTCTGCTGGTTCACTCCTACGAAAAGCTATCCAAACCTGAGATCTACCAGCTTTGAACCTCCACTCTCTAAAGCGCACGGCTCCTACAGTAAATTGAAAGAGTGAATCAAACAAGTTTCAGGGGACTGGAAGAAGAATGCTCCGAGGCCGATCCCTATCGGTGACATCCCTGAGTGGGCTTCCCCAGTGGGAAGTTGAAGAACTTCCCGTGGAAGATTTGCTTCTCTTTGAAGTTGCTTGGGAAGTGACCAATAAAGGTTTGTACTGGCCCCTGAAGGTGGCTCATTGACAGATTGCTGAAGAAGGTAGATTTAGAAGAATGAATTAATCAAATGAATTGCCAATGAATAAGTAGGCACTCAAACTGAGTAAAAGCTTAGGTTATAGTTAATTGTGTCTACTTCAACAGGCAATGAAAACTTAGACGTGTATACAAGGTACCCCTCAAAAAATGTATACATACTTTAATAGCTGATAGCTCGATGTTGAAAATGAAGTGTATTTTAATAAACACTGCCTTTATAATTATTGAAAATGTGTGTATACATTTTTGGGACACACTATATGTGCTAAGGGAACGTTGAAAATATTAGCCTTTGCTAGGGAATGTGCATTTCATTTAAAATCCATGTTATGGGAAAAATAGAAATAAAAAGTTAATATTTGCTTTTGGGGGTTTTATGATTTTGTTTTCAACAAAAAACACAACTTTGTACTTTATTTTAGGGAGGACTGTACCAGATCAGGATCAATTAGAAGCGTTAACTCCATAGACTGATAGCATTTCTATTAAGTAGCTAATGTTTCCTGTAATTCAAGATTAGCTTGGAATTAAAGTTTTAATTTAGAAGCAGCTCAGAAGGCATAATATCGAGCTCCTATTATGAAGAACAAAAGTGATTTTCAATAACATATACAGAGGAATTATAAAATAAGAAATGAAATCAAATGAACAAAATTAAAATAACTTCCCAATAAGGTATAATCTCATTTGTGCCAGATTGAAGAAGGCAAAATAGAGTACTCAACCTAAATGATTTTAATAAAAAGGACTCTGTAAAATTATAGAAGAAGAAATTCCTTATGAATTGATAGTCTCTAGTTTAAAAGTCTAGAATATTAGTAAGAAAAAGTAAGTTTTGAAGGTTGAATTCTTCAGGATCATGAAGGACCAGGTCAAGTGATTGACGGGTAAAAGTCAGTGGCAATTTGTGGAATTTAGAGGATCTGGAAGGATCTGAAATGATAACATGAATACGATCTATTACTTCCTTTTCGCTCATCAGAACCAGCATAACCTCAAAGGTGGAGGAATTATATTTGGTGTCTGTTCAGATTTTCACCTTGTGCTACATGTTCAAAGTGCTCGTGTGTTTGCTTTCATAAAATCACACCATCAAAACTAAAAACCAAGTCTGCCTGTGCAGAAATGCACAGAATGAACGTAAGAGAACAAACCACGGTCTTTTTTTGTTTTTGCAGTTTAGTGAGGAGAAAGCAAAGAGAACAGAAACCATACTATGCAGAAGGGAAGTGTTTTTAAATATCTGTTTACAAATACCTGTTTCGTTTTTTCCAGTCTCAAGGTTTTTAAATATGCCCCGTGTTCCTGGAAACAGAGCTGTCTCTGTTACACATAAATCTCAGACTGCGCTTTTAAATAAAGGTTTGCTCTACAGAGTAGGCAGGAGCTCAAGAATAGAGCTTGTTGGTGGAAAGAATGGGAGGGGATTACTAGCAGCAGGAAACAGTTAGGGGAAGTCTGCGTGAGTTCCAGCACCTAACCAGCGGTTCTCAACCTTGGGTCGCCACCCCTTTGGCGGTCGAACGACCCTTTCCCAGGGGTCGCCTAAGACCATCCTGCATATCAGATATTTACATTACGATTCATAACAGTAGCAACATTACAGTGATGAAGTAGCAACGAAAATAATTTTATGGTTGGGTCACAACATGAGGAACTGTATTTAAAGGGCCAGAAGGTTGAGAATCACTGGGAGCCCTTTCTTCTTCCTCCTGGTCTCTCCACTAAAGGAACCTTAATGGAACATTGTCTCCTGGTGCTGGGCGCACACTGGTGAGAGCTGTTACCCATGGATCTCGTATCCTGATGACATGTGTGCTGATGCCAGGCCTAGAACAGTGCCTGGCACACAGAAAATGCTCAAAGGGATTTTTTTTTTCTTTTAAATGAAGGAAATGAATACAGTGGGGCCTTGACTTACAAGTTTAATTCGTTCGGAGACCGAGATCATTAACTCAAATTACTCTATCAACTCAATGCAAAAAATCGGTGAGAGACAGCTGGTATCTCAAAAAACTCGTTAGTCAGGACACACGTAAGTCAAGGCCCCACTGTACATTTATTTTCAACCTCTACGCTTCCTTTATACTTATTTTCTTTTATTTCCCATGCAAGAGAAAGGGAATTTTTTTGTCTTGCGAAGGGACCCACAATGTGATTTACCCAGGTTGATATCATCTCCAATATATCTTTATTTTAATATCTATTACAGACTGATTTTTTAGAGGTGTTTATATGAATGGACAATTATTGTGTTCACCTCTGATAATACATTGACACCATCATTTCTTTTTAACTTTGAACTTTTATTCCCCTCCAGTTCACAGCCAGGATATGAGGCATCTTAGCGATCACAAGCCCAACTCCTCATAGATAAAACAGACAGCTACAGGCTTCAATGAGCAAGTAAATTGCAGGGTCGGGACTAGCAGTTAGGTCTCCTCTGAGTCCACTGCTCTTTTAATTACCACACAAAGATAAAATTAAAACATCCATTGCCTAAGGAAATTTTCTACAGATGAAAGAACACTGGACTTCCAGTCAAAGATCATAGATTTCCAAGACTTTGTAAAACATCCCTTAAACCAGGGTTGGGGGACCTTGTTTCTGCCAAGGGCCATTTGGATATTTATACCATCATTCTTGAGCCATACAAAATTATAAACTTGAAAATTAGCCTGCTGTCTTTGGTCAAACATTTAATTAACTCACCTCTAATGCCTTGGCAGAGCCAGACCAAATGATTTCACGGACCTCATACGGCCTGCAGGTCTGATTGATGTTCCCCACCCCTGCGAGTAAACTATCTGAATAGCAGTTTCTTCATAAATTAAATGAGCGTAATATGCTTCAGCCATCTTACAGTGGTTTGTAGTGGCAAACAGGAAATGGATTTAGATCCAAGAACAAAAGATTTCTTAGGAAAAATAAGTCCTTTACTACCAAAATTTTGCCAGCAAACAATGAAAATGTGTTAATTATAACAAATGAAAGAGTTATAGTTAAATTATTGGATGCTAATTCTTTGACCTTAAAATAACTTTTTCCATTTGTTCATGTTATTCTTGAAATGTATTGCTTTTATCAATTCATCCATTTATTATTATAAACCACTTATTACTCAATAAAGATTCATCAAGTGTCTATTACATGTCAGGCACTGGGAGATGAGGAGCATAGAGTTTAACAATATAAAATTGGTTCCCAGTCTTCCAAAATTTGCACACTTGCAGGATGGTAGACATTGAACATGCAACTATAGTCAAGTGTGATGAGTGTATGAATAAGTACAAGATGCTCTAAGACTACATAATGTATGCGGGGCGGGGGGCAGAGGCAGGGTTCTAACTAGTTTGGGGTTTGTGGAAAACCTCTTACCACAATGATTTCTTCTGCACAGACTTTCCCAAATCATTGTAAACTATGAATCAATGGTCATGTTGAGGATGTTTAGGATCATTAAAAAGAGTTTAATGAACATTGTCAAAAAGAATGAATGCTAATGTAATATAGTAGAGGCCCAGTGCACGAGATTCCCTCAGGCGGGGGAATCCCTCAGCCCACCTGAGCCTTCTCGCAGTCCGGAAGCCCTCAGGAGATGTCCAACTGACAGCTTAGCACTGCTGCAGAGGTGGGAGAGGTGGGAGAGGCTCCCACCACTGCCTCTGCGCTCATCAACCTTGAGCCAGCTCAGGGCTTCTGGCTGAGCGGTGCTCCCCCTGTGGGAGCACACTGACCACCAGGGGGCAGCTCCTGCATTGAGTGTCTGCTCCCTGGTGGTCAGTGCACGTCATAGTGACTGGTCATTCTGCTGTTCAGTCAATTTGCATATTAGCCTTTTATTTTAGAGGATATTAGGAAGGTAAGAGTGGATTAGTCATAGTGAGAGATTTATCTATGTTATTCTATGGAGTCAGAGAGGTATGTAGAAGGTCTGCCCCTTAGCATGTCAGCTAATTCCCAAGTCAATGGATGAGCTGCTACATTCCACTCACTTCTCAGGCAGTGTTGACTGTCTATACCAGGAGCTGTGAATTCAAATGCTGTGGGGGCAGAGGAGGAAATGTAAAAGAAACAGGAAGCCA